GCTCCTCTGTCCATCCGTTCATCTCTGCCAGCAGCTCAAACTGTGCTCTATATGCTTCCCACAGTGCTTTCCCATCGTATTCCTGTGGCTTCCTTCGGGACTGAATATGTCTGCATTAGGGTTTAGTGAGTTAGTTACTTCAATCATTTTAGACTTAGAACATCAACCTAACTCAGTATTGACAGTGAAAGTTAGTGACAACTGGATATTTCTATTATTGACATACCAGACAGAAAAGTACAAGTATAAATACATAAAACCAGACGTTATGATAAATCAACCGTCTTTTTCAGTATTTTTATCCTCATCTCCTTATTAGTTTGTTATGAGTCAAGCAACACAGTACATAAACACTATACATAAGTAGGAACAGGTTTAAAACACTACAAAAACTTTAATTTTATACCTATATTATACAAGCTGAAACACTTACACTGAAAAAATTCATAAACGTACAAATTGCTAGGGATACTGGAGCACCTGTAGCAATAACGCAAAAACATGTCAAAGCAACATGTATTTCCGAATAAATATTACCTAGGTGTTTAATCTAATTTATCCTTGCGTACTGGAACACCAAATCACATATTAAATAAAAGTATTGATTTCTATTATCAATGAAATGTAGGGTTAAATATCTGAAAACACTTAGAATGTGATGGTAAATTAGGAGCTTTAGTGGAATGACTTGCTTACATGTCAGGATAACCTCATATATATATATTACTTTGTCAATCCTCACATTGTTTCTATTTTCAAGGTGATTTATTTAAGAAACTTAGGTAACTGTTTTTCATGCAAGGGTGTTCTTTGTATAAATATATATATTTCACTTGTTATTATACACATTTGTACACTATTGTAATAATAAATTATTGTTGAATCCATTATATTATTTTGGAATAATGAAGAAAATTAGTTGAATCATTATTCAGTCTATACAGAAAGAAAGAAAATTAATCTTTAATATTATGAATATAGGGTTAAAGGCGGCTTTAATAATAGTTCGAATCCTTTTCCAGATCAACAAAAGCATTTTACAGAACTGTCAGAAACTTTAAATATTATGATTCGACTCATAAAAGTACATAAAACATTAAATACGATTAAATGTCACAACATATCGCTACATTTCAAAAAGAATATTAAAGAAACTCTCATTTTGAGTTCTAGCCAGACTTATGAGCCTTGGTAACTGTGAAATAAGCGTGCCATTGGTTTCAGCTAGTCACGTGCTTTAAACCCAAGTAGGCTTTATTTTCGATACTGTTTCTAATTTCTTTTCTTTAATTTTTGGTTCCATTAAGAAACAAGTGTGCCTCCCACCTTAGGGGCTCAGTGGTAAGTGAAGTCTTATAAAGTTAAAACCAGGTTTAAGTACCCTTGGTGGGCACAGCACAGATAGCCCATTGTGTTGCTTTGTGTTTAACTACAAAAACAAAACCAGTGGCACAGCGGTATGTCTGCGGACTTAGAGCGCTAGAAACCGGGTTTCGATACCCGTGGTGGGCAGAGCACGGATAGCCTATTGTGTAGCTTTGTGCTTAACTTCAAACAAACAAACGAACAAGTGAATTATTTAAGTGGGAATAAACTATAGTTTGAGGCGCATAAAGATTTTGGTTATTGTGTATGTTTCGTGCTTTTACGTACCTATAATACGCATGCATGTGTAACCTAAGTGCCATATTCAATATAATAATAAGTTTCAGAAGATGTATGTAGTAGTAAAAGAGGAAAAATAAATTATTTGTATGCATTTTTCACTGAAGATAAAAAAGCAAACTGGAAGTCTATTATAAATTAGAAGTACCAGCTGTTTCATGTAATATTTCATTATTTGTCATTGAATAATAAGTTTAGTATTTTAACTAGAAAATGTTACCATATTACTCTTAAGTTATTAATAATAATAGTATTTTTTGTTTTCAATTACTTACAAGTATTTATACCCTAATTACCTTTAGCCACTTAATTACGTTTGTTTTTTCGATACAGATAAAATCACATATGACATACAAAATTATGTATTTGTTTCCATATCTAAATCAGCAACAATCCTAAGCGCAGTGCTATAACGTGTTATTGCACAAACAACTGATATTAAGCTTAAGATATAGTAGAAGAAACGTCATGTTCTATAAGTCTGTAGTATATAGTACTCCATGGCTTTGATTATACAAGTCTTGATAACTTAACTTCGGGGTAGGCGTTTTAAAATACTGTCAGTTGATTTTATTAGATATCTGTACGTTACCACTTGTGTACAGTTACTCTTATAATCGTGTGAGGCCTTTGTTTTTTGAAATTGGTAGTTTGGATTGCTGCCAACAGAGAGCAGAACAAGAGTCTCATCATAGTCTGACAGTGATTTAAAGAGTTTAGCAAGGAGGCCGAACCGTTCTTACCTTGTTAAGTACACCGCTAGAAAGTGAGGCTTTAAAACAGTCCCAACGTACAGACATGGTATAATTTATTTCAAACGGCTGAACTGTATAGGAAAATTGATCTGTAGAACAGCTGTATTTTCGTCTTAATCTAATTAATTTAAAGTGAAATTCCATTTATAATTCTATTCCTGTGGTTTATTTCTAAAAAAAAAAAAAATATGTTGCCGAATTATGTGGCGACGCTTCTAGCGGGTTGGTTGTTATGGTCAACCCAGCATGGATGTGACGCTAGACCTATTCTGATGTCTCCCTCCATATCGCCAGCGAGAGGTAGTATTCTTTTCCACATAAATTAATAAAATTCAGATATTAAGAAGTGTTGATTAGAAGTAAGTGTTATCGCTTTGTTCGGTGGCGAAGACAAGGTGCTCAAATGGATTGTATGAGTTACCTATAATATATAATATAATGGATAGGTGGCGAAGTCAGGAGGCTGGGAAGGGGATATAGCTCCCATCCCACTTTTCGTGGCATAAAATCATATACATATATATATATATATATATACCTATATTAAAAATAGGACTGAAGGACTGAGCGGAAAACCTAGTAACAAATGGAATTACAGTTGACTAAGAGGTATTAAATATTAACGACTAGAATATCAGTTAAATTTACACCTGTGTGCATATAAACTGAGAAACCACTTTCTGTGATGCGAATCTATGAACGAAGTATCGTATCTGCTGTTGTATCCGGCAAAATCCCAATTTTGGACACAATGTGATATCTCGTAAAATACATATAGATTGTCGGTCATAAGGGAAGATTTTTAGAATATTTTTATGTGTATTTCGCTTCTTTTCAGACTAAAGGATTGTTTATTTGAGATATCACGCAAAGCTACAAGAGGGTTATCTGTGTTAGCCATATCTAATTTTGAATAGAAAGAAGGGAACTAATTAACAGCACCCATCGACAACCCTTACAAAACTGTCAGAAACTTTAAATATTATGATTCCAATCAACTGGATCTTTAATAGCGTTGTATTAAAGTACATAAAAAAAGAGATTAAATACGATTAAATGTCACAGCACTTCGCTACATTTCAAAAATAATATTAAATAAACTCTCATTTTGAGTTCTACATTGCGGAAAGTAATTTGATTTTTTATGATAAAAGGATGCGAACTTTGAACCCTCGGATCCACAGACCGGCAAGCTAGCCACTAGGTCAGCTCTGTCCTGAGAGGAAAGTAAATTGTCCGGGTCTTTTATGTATGAAATACTTATAATTGAGATCTCACTAATCGATTGGACTAGCCCACTTGGCGGTGAGCGATGTTGACTAGCTACCTTAATAATTAGGGACGGCTAATAGATAGTTCTCGAACAACTATGAGCGAAATTCCACAAACAAAAACAATAATACATTACTTATGTATGCACTATCGCGAAACCAACAACATAATTCTTACTTTTATGTAAAACACAACTTCTTATACAAATATGGCTTATAGAACCTACAATACTTTCCAAGAAAACCATTTTTCCAACATACTACACATAGGAACTTGGACAGGTTAATACACTCCGCCACACGGGGGCTCGGAAATAAGATTGAGAGATTATAACGCTAATATTCTGGGCTAGATACAAGCGATTGACACAATGAAGATAGCTCATTGTGCACCGTTACGCTTAAGAGTTAACACACACCATTATTTGACAGCCAAATCCATGTTACTTTATATGGCATTTGTCTGTTACTTTTATAACGGATCCACAGATCCAAATTTCAGAGCGCTATTTTTCATTTGTATTTGGCAATAACGGGACGTGAACCCCGAAACCTCGGGAGTCCAGCACACTAACCACTGGGCTGCGCTCAGCCACAAATAACGTGTTAGAAAATATAGTTAGCAAATCATAATTTTTTTAAAGGTTATTTAAAGCAAAGCATAAACAACAATGATAATTAGTATATCGATTGTAGAACTAGGAAAACAGGAAAGTACAACATATGAAACAAAATAAACATTCAGTTATATATGTTTAAGAAACGTAATTCATCATATTATTGTACAACAGTCTAGGATCAAACGTTTTAAAAAATAAAATTAGTTTACTGTGTGACCAATTCTAATGTGAAAATGCGCCGCATATTTTGAGATATTGTTTGTAATTACGCACAAAGCTATACATTGGGCTATCTGTACTCTGCCCACCTCAGGTATCGAAACCCGGATTCTAGCGTTCTAAGTCTGCAGACATACCGCTGTACCACGGGGGGGGGGGCAGTTTTTTGAGCTATAATAGACAAGCAGTGAGAAAACATGGCATATTAGCAGCATCG